ATTTTCAATGGCTATATCGATTCACCTGATGTTTATTTGCCACATAGAATGATGTTCAATGGCTATATCGATTCACCTGATGTTTATTTGCCACATAGAATGATTGTCAGTGGCTATATAGATTCACCTGATGTTTATTTGCCACATAGAATGATTTTCAATGGCTATATCGATTCACCTGATGTTTATTTGCCACATAGAATGATTTTCAATGGCTATATCGATTCACTTGATGTTTATTTGCCACATAGAATGATTTTCAGTGGCTATATCGGTTCACCTGATGTTTATTTGCCACATAGAATGATTTTCAATGGCTATATCGATTCACCTGATGTTTATATGCCACATAGAATGATTGTCAGTGGCTATACTGATTCACCTGATGTTTATTTGCCACATAGAATGATTTTCAATGGCTATATCGATTCACCTGATGTTTATTTGCCACATAGAATAATTTTCAATGGCTATATCGATTCACCTGATGTTTATTTGCCACATAGAATGACTTTCAATGGCTATATCGATTCACCTGATGTTTATTTGCCACATAGAATGATTTTAAATGGCTATATCGATTCACCTGATGTTTATTTGCCACATAGAATAATTTTCAGTGGCTATATCGATTCACCTGTTGTTTATTTGCCACATAGAATGATTGTCAGTGGCTATATCGATTCACCTGATGTTTATTTGCCACATAGAATATTTTTCAGTGGCTATATTGATTCACCTGATGTTTATTTGCCACATAGAATGATTTTCAATGGCTATATCGATTCACCTGATGTTTATTTGCCACATAGAATGACTTTCAATGGCTATATCGATTCACCTGATGTTTATTTGCCACATAGAATGATTTTAAATGGCTATATCGATTCACCTGATGTTTATTTGCCACATAGAATAATTTTCAGTGGCTATATCGATTCACCTGATATTTATTTGCCACATAGAATAAATTTCAATGGCTATATCGATTCACCTGATGTTTATTTGCCACATAGAATGATTGTCAGTGGCTATACTGATTCACCTGATGTTTATTTGCCACATAGAATGATTTTCAATGGCTATATCGATTCACCTGATGTTTATTTGCCACATAGAATGATTGTCAGTGGCTATACTGATTCACCTGATGTTAATTTGCCACATAGAATGATTTTCAGTGGCTATATCGATTCACCTGATGTTTATTTGCCACATAGAATGATTTTCAGTGGCTATATCGATTCACCTGATGTTTGTTTGCCACATAGAATGATTTTCAATGGCTATATCGATTCACCTGATGTTTATTTGCCACATAGAATGATTGTCAGTGGCTATACTGATTCACCTGTTGTTTATTTGCCACATAGAATGATTGTCAGTGGCTATATCGATTCACCTGATGTTTATTTGCCACATAGAATAATTTTCAGTGGCTATATTGATTCACCTGATGTTTATTTGCCACATAGAATGATTTTCAATGGCTATATCGATTCACCTGATGTTTATTTGCCACATAGAATGATTTTCAATAGCTATATCGATTCACCTGATGTTTATTTGCCACATAGAATGATTTTCAATGGCTATATCGATTCACCTGATGTTTATTTGCCACATAGAATGACTGTCAGTGGCTATACTGATTCACCTGATGTTTATTTGCCACATAGAATGATTGTCAGTGGCTATATCGATTCACCTGATGTTTATTTGCCACATAGAATGATTTTCAGTGGCTATGTCGATTCACCTGATGTTTATTTGCCACATAGAATGATTTTCAATGGCTATATCGATTCACCTGATGTTTATTTGCCACATAGAATGATTTTCAGTGGCTATATCGATTCACCTGATGTTTATTTGCCACGTAGAATGATTTTCAATGGCTATATCGATTCACCTGGCTATATCGATTCCATTGATGTTTATTTGCCACATAGAAAGATTTTCAATAGCTATATCGATTCACCTGATGTTTATTTGCCACATAGAATGATTTTCAATGGCTATATCGATTCACCTGATGTTTATTTGCCACATAGAATAATTTTCAATGGCTATATCGATTCACCTGATGTTTATTTGCCACATAGAATGACTTTCAATGGCTATATCGATTCACCTGATGTTTATTTGCCACATAGAATGATTTTAAATGGCTATATCGATTCACCTGATGTTTATTTGCCACATAGAATAATTTTCAGTGGCTATATCGATTCACCTGTTGTTTATTTGCCACATAGAATGATTGTCAGTGGCTATATCGATTCACCTGATGTTTATTTGCCACATAGAATATTTTTCAGTGGCTATATTGATTCACCTGATGTTTATTTGCCACATAGAATGATTTTCAATGGCTATATCGATTCACCTGATGTTTATTTGCCACATAGAATGACTTTCAATGGCTATATCGATTCACCTGATGTTTATTTGCCACATAGAATGATTTTAAATGGCTATATCGATTCACCTGATGTTTATTTGCCACATAGAATAATTTTCAGTGGCTATATCGATTCACCTGATATTTATTTGCCACATAGAATAAATTTCAATGGCTATATCGATTCACCTGATGTTTATTTGCCACATAGAATGATTGTCAGTGGCTATACTGATTCACCTGATGTTTATTTGCCACATAGAATGATTTTCAATGGCTATATCGATTCACCTGATGTTTATTTGCCACATAGAATGATTGTCAGTGGCTATACTGATTCACCTGATGTTAATTTGCCACATAGAATGATTTTCAGTGGCTATATCGATTCACCTGATGTTTATTTGCCACATAGAATGATTTTCAGTGGCTATATCGATTCACCTGATGTTTGTTTGCCACATAGAATGATTTTCAATGGCTATATCGATTCACCTGATGTTTATTTGCCACATAGAATGATTGTCAGTGGCTATACTGATTCACCTGTTGTTTATTTGCCACATAGAATGATTGTCAGTGGCTATATCGATTCACCTGATGTTTATTTGCCACATAGAATAATTTTCAGTGGCTATATTGATTCACCTGATGTTTATTTGCCACATAGAATGATTTTCAATGGCTATATCGATTCACCTGATGTTTATTTGCCACATAGAATGATTTTCAATAGCTATAT